TTTTTAAATATAAATTTTATATGTAAATTTATATGAATAATAATTAATAAATACCAGAAGAGCTACATTTGATCCAGCAGCCAAAGCCACAATTTTGAACTTACCTAGATTCTTTGCTAATATATATCTTGATTGTCTGCAAAATGCCAAATTATGATTCCTACGAGATGATGAAGAGCCAGAACTGGAATACCGCCAAAGTTTAATTGCATAAACTTATGTACAACACAAAGATTAGTTTTTCTTCTCTTTTAACCTGAGTTCCAATGGAGCTGATGGAACCAACAATTGAAATAGGCTTGGGACCATCCCAAGTCTGCTGAGCCTGAACTGAGCACTGGATTCTAGTACCAAATCTGGTGCTCAATCCTTCCTCTTAAAAGTGAACTCTGTTGGGTAAAAGTGGACTTAGGAGGATTTTACAGAGGAAGAGAGTAAGGTTTGGAGACAATGTTTCTCTGGATTAGCTTGATTGAAAATGAGAACTTACATAGGTATTTATAGGTAAATCATAAACACTGATTCTTCCCCCCAATTAAATTAACTCTTATACATAAATCTCATTCTCCTAGATACGTTATTAAAGATTATTCCTGCCAAATACATGAACTGAGTATTAAAGGCATGTTTATCCTTGCAACAAACTCTCCTCAAATTCACAAAGCAAGAGACTTCGAAATTAAATAAGAACTTGCCCATCTCTAGCAACTTCTAACGCAGATTGGAAAACCAGATCTCATCAACTGATTTGGAAAGCTAAAGGCTGAATTCCACTTACGTTTTAAAAAATATATATATGGGGATTATAGATAAGAAAACCAATATATATATATATATATATATCTGTACTCCAAAGGTTTGGATTCAGGTCTCAAAGAGAAGGAAATGAACAAAGAGACGAAATTATTCTCGTACAATTCAGAGAAAATGTGAGAAGAAAACGATGGAAAAATAAATAATGAGGTTTATGCAATAGCTTCCTGTTATCCAGACAAATGGCCGACGAATTTTCACTCTGCAAATGGCCGTCCAACTTATTGGTAGTTGCCAGAGTAAAATGATGTTACTTGTTGGTGCAAATGGAGTTGCTTGAACTTCAATGTTTTAACCCGAAAACCTGCTTATTTCCGAAGTAGCCACTACTAGTGTCCCTTGTTCTTTTCACTTTGCCTTCCTTTTTATATTTTCAAGCTATTCCTTATCTTCTTTCTTCTTTTGAGCAGTCACATGAATAATAATTCAATTAGCGGACAAATCCCTCCGGCGCCCTCCAAATTACCATACCTTGAACACTTGTAAGTTTATCATAGGTTAATTTCTCCTATTTTAGTCTTGTAATATATATCTGTAGCATTAACTTATCTATGATTATGTGCAACTCAGCTTCCTTTTAAGTCTCCATTCACTTTTTCTTATGCAGCCTTCTTGACAATAACGATTTATCGGGGCATCTTCCACAAGAGCTTGCCCAAATGCCGAATTTAACCATCCTGTATGTTTTCTAACTTTTCCAGAAATATTTTGATATAGACTTATGCTTCTAAGTCTTTTGTTCTAATTGTTGTGGGATAGCTAAATGAAAGTACGTAAAATGAGGGTGAGAGCTATATATTGTACTTTGTTAATCATTCAACCCAAGGGCAGAATGTTGGACAGAGCAGAGATGTATATATAAAAAGCAACATGAACAAACATTTATTTTCTGTTTAAAAAAGTCCATAGTTACATTTGTTCTGTATGTTTTTCTTCTCTTGATCATTCTTTTGTTGAGTGTATCTTTATAATTACATGTAAATGCCTTTACATTTCAGATTTCAATCGGTAGTCTTCTTTGATTTACTTAACAGTTTCCATTTCTACCTTCTGCAGTCAACTTGACAATAACAACTTTTCATGGGATTTCTATTCCAGGATCATTTGGAAACATAACTGAATTATTGAAGTTGTAAGTGCTTACTGTAACGGTGTAACCCAATCCCTATCCTAGTATTAATTATAGATTTAGAAGGTAGAGATGAGGAGACAGGTGCTACCATCTTTTTAATATATTTATACATGATACATAAGACTACATTTGAAATTTTTGTAAAGCAATATTTGCATGGTTTCACCATTACAAGCAAACAATGGTAAAAAATCATCAATGACATAACATAGAACAATGAAATTTCTCTAAAACTATATTTACATTAAAAAGTGAAACTGATATAACTTAGAAGGATATATAATTTTCAAAGTGAAATTAGGTTTCCCTTACACAACTAGGATGTAATGAAAATATTATAAATGTGAAATATTTTGAATACTGTACTACTGAATTAATAAATGTCATATAGCTGTCCCTAATAATTTTAACATTGATTGAAAATTACTATTAGAGAGCATATGTGGACTTGAAGGTGTGTGGAATTTTCTTATCCTAAACATTTTTGTTGTTTAAATTATCAAGAGTCTTAGGAATTGCAACTTGCAAGGATCAATCCCCGACCTAAGTGAAATACCCAACCTTCATTATCTGTAAGTTCTTGTGTTTTTTCTTCATGATGGAATGACTTTCCTATTAGACAATTAAATGTAGCTCTCATTTCTATTTCTCTTATATAAATTTCAGGGACTTGAGCTCAAACCAACTAAGTGGACCCATACCTACAAATAAGCTCTCTGAGAATATCACAACCATGTGAGATTCTCTCTCTAGCAATCTACACATTTTTGCTAATTTGCTTGCTTTAAGATTTTGAAAATACTCACTTTAGATTGCCATATCTTTTTGTGATTCCATGATTTTTGACATTTTGTTGCTTGGAAATATGTATAGTGATTTATCCAACAATAGTCTTACTAGAAGCATTCCCGCCAACATTTTTGGTCTACCTAATCTCTAGAAACTGTAAGCATTTTCCACTTAGACTCCTCCAATTTGTTTCTTGCCTTGGTGAACATTAGAAATTAAGTTAGTAGCTAATGGTAGTACTTTGACATTTTGTTGTCTGGAAATATGTATAGTGATTTATCCAACAAGTCTTACTGGAAGCATTCCCACCAACTTTTTTGGTCTACCTAATCTCCAGAAATTGTAAGCATTTTCCACTTAGTCTCCTCCAATTTGTTTCTTGCCTTGGTGAACATTAGAAATTAAGTTAGTAACTAATGGCAATACTTTGACATTTTGTTGTCTGGAAATATGTATAGTGATTTATCCAACAATAGTCTTACTGGAAGCATTCCCGCCAACCTTTATGGTCTACCTCATCTTCAAAAACTGTAAGCATTTTCCACTTAGTCTCCTCCAATTTGTTTCTTGCCTTGGTGAACACTAGAAATTAAGTTAGTAGCTAATGGCACTGCTTTGACGTTTTGTTGTCTGGAAATATGTATAATGATTTATCCAACAATAATCTTACTAGAAGCATTCTTGCCAACTTTTCTAGTCTAACCCACATCATATTCCAGATTTAGGAGCCTCATTTGTTCTCACTTAAGATCAATAGTCTAATCATTTGTATGTTCAACAATTGCTTTTGCTAATAATTAGTGCTCTGTGTGCTTTACATTAACTGTGCAGGGATTTGGAGAACAATAATCTTGTCAATATTTTTGGGAATTTTGACCTTCCTCCGAATGTCACGCTCTGGTTTGCTCATGCATATGTCTTTTCTTTTAATTTTATTTTAATTAAGTAGTTGTTAATTTGTTTATTTTCACATTGTTTTTATATCTAGTTACTTCACCTACAATATAATATAACATACACTTACACCTTCAATTGACCTATTGGTTTTATACTTTTTTTGTATTTATATACAAAGAAAAGAAAGGCCTGCAGTCTAAAGTGAAGTTGAATATCTTCTCTTTTTTCAGGCTTCACGGGAATCCTATATGCCAGAATAGAAGTTTAGTTCAATTTTGTAAATCTCAAACTGAGAATGAAACTAGAGAAAGTACTGCAACAAACTCCACCACCACTGAGTGTAAACTGCAATCATGCCGTTACCAAATATCTCCTTTAGATTGCTTTTATGTCGAGCCTTTGCTAATAGGACATTGATTGAAAAGTCTTGGCTTTTCATATTTTACTCCATATAAACAAATGTTAATGGAGCACCTAACTCAACATCTCAACTTGTCTATTCATCAACTCTATATCTATTCATTTGCATGGCAAGAAGGACCATGACTGGGAATGTACTTAAAGCTCTATCCTGTTTATGATAACACTACCAACAATCCTTTATTCAATCTAAGTGAAGTTCAACAAATCAAGAGTATGTTCACTAGATGGAAGACCCTTCTTCATGACACATTTGGACCTATAGAACTTATAAACTTCACCTTGTCAGATGTCTATAAGGATGGTTTGCTTCAAAACTTCATTTCTTGCCCTAAGAATATATATCCATAACTTTCATTTTAAAAAAAAAAAATTCTTATAATATCATATAATGTTGCAGAATTCTACTAGCCTTTATCAACAGGCATAAGTAAAGGTGCATTAGCTGGCATTATACCGGGGACCTTTGCTAGTGCAGTTACATTATTTGCAATCATTTCACTTATTATATTCAGAAGGCTCTTGAAGGGCTACCATGTAGTTTCAAAGCGACATCAAAGTGAGTATATTAACATTTCTAATGATAGGGTAAGCAAGTTGATTGTATATATTAATATGTGTTTGTGTTCTATACTTCTTTCCAAATTGATTGTCTATCAAAAATAATTTTCCTTTTAGATATTACATATGGTATTATTTTTCCACATAGATAAATCTTGATGCTCTTATGATTTTTCTTCATTAATCACCAGGACACTCTATTAGTTCATTTTCATTTATCCTATAGAATAGAGAATGAAATTGAATTTTATTTAGCTAGTTGTTACTTAAATACTGAGAAAGAAGTCATGTTTTTTTGGCCTCTGTTCAATTATTTATCTTGCTTTAGATTCATTTTGAATTTGAGTCACTGTGAAATACTTTCTTTTATCCAAATATATCTTATTCATCTCCTAGAAATTTTTCAAGAAACAAAAAAAAAAAAAAAAAAAAAACACTTAGTTTTGTTCAAACATTTAGAGATCTGTTTTCTTATATAGCATCTAGAGCCCTGTTAAAAATTAATGGTGTCAAGAGTTTCACATATGGAGAGTTGGCTTTGGCAACAAACAATTTTGATTTCTTCACTCAAATTGGCCAAGGTGGATATGGAAAGGTATATAGAAGCACTCTAGCTAATGGCACGACTGTCGCCGTAAAGCATGCACAACAAGGGTCATTACAAGGTAAAAAGGAGTTCTTAACTGAAATACAGTTGTTGTCAAGGTTACATCATAGAAACCTTGTTTCTTTGGTTGGTTATTGTGACAAAGAAGGTGAACAGGTACTTTGTCTCATGTCTTTTAAAAATTTTGATTGATATGGTCTTATATTTTTTGCTACCCATAAATGGTTTCAGAAATAAATTTATGGAGGGATAAAAGAAGTAATTTCAATGTTTTATTAGCCTAACTATAACAAAATATTGGAAAGATGAACCATCACTAAGGAAGTAATTTGATTAACCAACTTCGTTTTTGGATAGAATTTCATGCCTATTGTCGTTTGTTAATTGAAATTTATTATCAAATCCGATTGTTACTATCAACAGATGTTGGTGTATGAATATATGTTTAATGGCACCCTACAAGATCATCTTTAAGGTGAACCTTTGAGTTCAAGAAATGCAAAACGACAACCTTTAATTCTACATGCAAATATTGTGATCCTTAGTATAATGTTTTATATGTATGGTACCGTACGTAGGAAAGATTAAAGAACCTTTGAGTTTCGCAAGGAGGCTGAGAATAGCTCTTGGTTCATCCAAGGGAATCCTTTACCTACACACAGAAGCTGACCTTCCTATATTTCATCGGGATATCAAGGCCAGCAACATATTATTGGATTCTAAATTTGTTGCAAAGGTTGCCGATTTTGGACTTTCACAACTTGCTTATGTGCCAGATATTGAAGGTGCAACGCTTGCTTCTGTGTCTACTGTTGTAAAGGGGACTCTAGTAAGTGTTTTACTTGAATGAAATGAAATTAGAAGCTTATATATATATATAATATCTACAATAAAAGAGATGGAATTTAAATACTATATTTACTAATATATGACAATCAGCATTGGTTCACAACTATATATTGCTGGTATGGTATCTCATTATTTGAATATTTTGTACGTAAAATGTAGGGTTACCTTGATCCAGAATATTTCCTAACGCATAAGTTAACAGACAATAGTGATGTATATAACCTTGGTGTTGTGTTTCTAAAGCTTTTAACAAGGATGCATCCAATTTCAAAGGGCAAAAACCTTGTTCGAGAGGTAATATATTGCTTTCCTTCTCCTCTTTTGCTTGAAATTAATTGTCTTTCATCACTTTTAGACCAACTGAACATTTGTACTCTCTCTGTCTTTCTCTCTCACACACACACCAGGTTAACATTGTGTATCAATCTGGTACAATATTCTCGGTTATTGATGGAAGAATGGGTTCATATCCTTCTGAATGTGTGGAGAAGTTTGTGAATTTGGCCATGAAATGTTGCCAAGACGAGATAGATTCAAGACCTTCGATAGTGGAGGTGGTCCAAACTCTAGAAACTATAGGGCTGATGATGCCAAGGTACTCTGACCCCTTGCTAGTAGAATCCATGAAAGGTGACCCAGAAAAGACATCAACTGCTCCACCTTTGTCATCCTCTAAGGTGAAGAATCTGTACACATCCTTATATGTTTCTGGTAGTGACCTTGTTAGTTGAGCGACTCCCACCATCATGCCTAAATAAGATAAGACCATACAGCACAAACAGCTCTCGCTCTGATAAGTCTTTGACTCTGACTGTTGTTGTACACTTGTATTGGTTCCCTTCTTTCTGCTGTTGCATAGTTAGTTTTTTACACCGTCAGGCTACATCATTTATCACTTGCATAAAATGCAGAAATGCCTTTTGTATGATTAGGAAATTTAATTGGAAGCATTCATACGTAGCTGTAGTTTTTAGTTTTTTTTTAATATTTTAATTAAAAATATATAAAATATTAATTAAAATATTAAATATATTTATATTTTTTTAAAATGATAAAAATATATAAAAATTAAAATA